TTTAACAAATTAAACATTCAAAGATCATTAAAATTTACTACCCAAATGGTGACATCCCCCAAATATTTTCTCTTTTTTTTTTATAAATGATTCAGCAGAGCAGTTTAACATTGGAGTAAATCTTCTGTTTTTCAGAGTGGTTCAGTGCTCAGACAAAGGTGTGGACAAAGTTCCGTACGGCATTCCCTACAACTCTCGCTACATTCTCCTCATGAACAACCACATCAATAGCATTCAGCTGGATCTTCTTCGTGAATACGCTTCCATGGAGTTCCTAGTGTTAAGCAACAACCTTCTCACCAACGGTGCCATAGAAGGAGCCTTTGACGGTGTCCCAGCTCTAAAACGTCTCTACTTGGACAAGAACATATTGGAAAGCATTCCAACAGACCTTCCTGTCTCTCTGGAGGAGCTTCGTCTGGATGATAACCAACTTCATGTGATGTCTGAGGCAGCCTGGGATCGATGTCCAGGACTCTTGGTTTTGAGTCTCAGCAACAACAGTCTAGGGAACGGTTCAGAGTCTCTTCCTGAAGGGATGCTCTCACCACTTTGTAACCTTCGCACCCTGAACCTCAATCACAACCTGCTGACCATGGTTCCTTTACGTTTGCCTGTGTCAATCAAGGAGCTCTACCTCAAAGGGAACCGCATTGAGAAATTTCGTGTTGGGGCTTTCAATGGGATTTCAGAGCTACTGGTGTTAGATCTTAGTGAAAACAGGCTCACCAACAAAGGTCTTCTCAAGGACTCCTTCCTCAATGTAACCCACCTGGAAAGCCTAAACCTGGAAGGCAACAAACTGAAGCAGGTGCCCCAACACCTCCCCTCCTCATTAAAAACTCTCAATTTAGAAGGAAACCTTATAGTCTCAATTAGGAAGTCAGCATTCAACACACTGAAGAACTTGGAGCATCTTGGCCTGGCTAAGAACAAAATCACTAGAGTTGCAATAGGTGCTTTTAAAAGTCTGCACGTCCTGCACCAGTTAGACCTTTGCCACAACACTTTGCTTCAGGTGCCCAGACAGTTGCCACATGATCTACACTCCGTAGCATTGACACACAATAAGATTCAATCGGTTCCCCGTGATGCTTTTTGCTGGGGTGGTAAAAGTCTGAGTCCGAGCAGCCTCGTACAGGTACAACTGGAACATAATTTGATTGATATGGGGAAACTGGATACACAGGCTTTTAGGTGTTTAAGGGGGTTTCAGGTGGTACACTTCTAATGAACTGATGAAAATTAAAGACATTTTCAGTGGCCTCATAAAACAACAGTACAAGCTTCTGTCAATAAAGAATATTTATTGAAAAATTAAATTAAGTTCTGAGTACTATTTCAAGGCTAACATGATCCCCTCAATGTAAAAAAAAGCTCACTTCTCCCAAACTTACTACTAATTATATTTAACTATTGCTATACTTTTTGCTTGTTCAGGTATTTCTAGACAAACCTTGTTTATCATAATTTGCATTTGTTGGAACTCTTGAAAAGAATAATTTAAACGTATAGACGTAATACTGTTGTTCTCTATTTATCCACTAGATGGTAGTAGTTTATAAGCAAGACGGTTTAAGGGCGTGTCAAATGAGATCTCAAGACGTTGAATTTGACTCATTTCCAGTCAGCAAATACTGAGTTTGTGGCAAATGAAATGCATATGTTTCAGGAAGTTTATCTAGTGGTTAAATGAGTGCTGTGTGTATTTATGGCTTGACACCAGTCTGCAAATGAAGAAATGTGAGCAGCACATCATCAATCATAGCACATCGTTAGCTGTTATCTTTTAGTAGTTTTTGACATCATTTGTGGATGAAACACATATGAGGAAGCGATTTGATGAGGAAATGTCAATAGGAAAGAGAGAGAGATAAGGAGGGGGAAAAAGCATGAGCCCTCGTGGAGGTGTTTAGCGCTTTTTTT